AGAGGCTTCTGTGGGCAAACCTGAGGAAGAAAAGAGAGGCTTCTGCGGGGCAAACCTGAGGGAGAGAAGGGGAAAGAAGAGGAGAGGCTTCTGTGGGACAAGCCTGAGGGAGAGAAGTATTTGAGTGAACGGCAGGCAAACATAGGAATCAACGAAGGAGCAGAGGCTGTGGAAGGAGAGCCCAGCAAGCAGTTCAAGAGAGAGAGAGAGAGAGAGAGAGATCAAGAAGGGCCGACCAGCCACCTGATCACCTCATCCTGTGACCTGCCTGCTGGGGAAAAACTGACCATCACCCCACCGTGTGACCCAGGCAAGTAGAGGTGCTTGAGCGAGGGACCACTGTGGACCTGTAGCCATACCAAGAGGGCCAGGAGAACCCAGACTCCAGCTACTCAAGCCAGTAATTTTTCATCTGAGTTTTTTCCCCCTGTGGTTTAAGAAAAGCTTTTTACAATGTTGAGGTAACCCAAATGGTTTCAAGTATTCCCGCACTGTCTGGTGCTCTCTTCACCTCAGATTTGTGAAACCACCCCTTTTACAAGAAAAGCAGGTTGCTTTATGGCATAACACAGATGGTTTTCTAAGATCCCTCCAGAGAATATTCTCCATCTGACAGGTATACTGAGGCCTAGTCCCTGCAGATAGTCCTCGACTTACAACAGTTCATTTAGTGACAGTTCAAAGTTATTACGGCACTGAAAAAGTGACTTATGAGCCTTTTTCACACTTATGACTGTAACAGCATCCCCATGGTCACGTGATTTACATTCGGATGCTTGACAACTGATTTGTATTCATGATGGTTACAGTGCCCCAGGAGTCATGCGATCCTCTTTTGTGACCTTCTGACAAGCAAAGTGAATGGGGGAGCCAGATTCGCTTAACAACCATGTTGCTAATTTAACAACTGCAGAGATTCACTTAACAACTGCGGCAAGAAAAGTCGTCAGATGGGGGTAAAACTCACTTAACATCCTCACTTAGCAACATACATTCTGGGCTCCATTTGGGTTGTAAGTCGAGGACTACCTGTGCTTTGCTCCTCTAGGAACACAGACACATGGTGCTTGATCCAATTGGCACATCTTCCTTCTTCCCAAAGGAGAAAGGCCAAAGGTTTTATTTCTTCTTCTTTTTTTCAGCTGGCTGATAAGCAGAGCTGAACAGTACAAAAAGCAACATTGCAAGGGAAATTGCTAAGAAAGGAGCGTAGAAAGCAGACACGGTCAAACGTTCCTGTAGAGTCTGTGGAGCCGGGACTTTAGCGTTGGAGAAATCAGCAAACAGGATGTGGGCTAGGCAAGGAACCACTGCTGTAATTACGTGCGTTGTGTAGATAATCACAGGAACCCGAATCCATTTGCAGTTCCCTGCATTGAAAAACCAGATTTTTAATAACTGCAGCCTTAGGTCAAAACTCAAGTATTCATATTCTAATTTGCATACGTATGTAAATATTGGTAGTCCTCAACTTATAACCACAATTGGGACGAGAATTTCCCTTGCTAACAAGGTAACCGAGTCAGGTCAATTTTATGACTTTGTTTGCTGCTGTTGTTAAGCAAATTACCGCAGTTAAGAAAATTACATTGTTGCTTAACAAAGCATGTAGGTAGACTTTGTTGTTGGACGCCAATTGGGAAGGTGAAAATGGTAATCACATGACTCCAGGATGCTGTAACAGTTGTAACTACATGCCAGTTGCCAAGCATTTTGATCATGTGACAATGGGGATGCTGCTTTGGTCATAAGTGTAAAGACTGATCGTTAAGTTATATTTTGCATCGCCAGTGTTATCTTGAACAGTCACTAAACAAATGGTTCTAAGTCAAGGACTATTACAAATTGTGCCATAAAAGGGGCTTCTTTCACTATTTCAGAACAGATAGATAAGCCTGTCTAGGCTGCCAACAGATTGCCCAGTCCATCATGAGGGCTTTGTAGTCCAATGGCTGTCATGACCTTCAAACTCCATTAGGAAATATTTGCATTCTTCTCTCCGAGGACAATTTATTCTGATTCTGCGCCCACCCAATGTCATGCTCCACTGGTTCACACAAACGGGCACGCTTACCTTTCCAGAAGGCATAGGCAGCAACGGGAAAGAAAAACAATTGTAGAAAAGCTTCGAAGAAAAGGAGAGACAGGAACCAGGGTTCTGGCCTTGCCAACAATGGATCCTTGAATGTAGCTGTGTACCATGTCATTGCATCGGACAGCTTTAGGAACAGAGAAGAGGGTGAGTAAGGAGGAGGAAGGCACCTAAACCTTCCTTTTAATCTTCTATCAATGGTGGGGTGGGGCAACAAAATTCAATTGGCATCTGCAACTGTGCAATAGAAACACTGCCCCATTTTAATGCTGGGTGGGTTACTGATGCAAAGCATGTAGGTAAAACTTGGCACCACTCGGTTTGGCCGGGGAAGATTTTTTCCTTCTTTCTCAAACTATGTGATAGGTTCTGATTACAACTTTTATAGAACAATAGAAGAGACTATCCATCTCTCAGGTTGAACTGCACCTCTGAGCACTTCAGTGCTTGCTTGCAAATGAGGTAATAGCATCAGTGCGAGTGAGTGTGGAGTTTGCTCCCTGTTTATACACAGTGGCTTGTATAATGTTGGCTTTTCTCTTTGGTGGTTGATTAAGGTATCAAGGAACTATGTTGAGGGACAAGCAGGGGTTCTCACACTGAAGGGCTTAGTCAAGATAACTTGAGGCGCTCCAGGCCCCCTTCAGATTCCCTCTCCCTTCCCTTCCATTTATGGCTCTCCTGGTCTCTCTCTCCCTAGCTGTGTTGGCAAAGCAACCTTAAACAGGTCAGATCTTGCATTAAGAGCAGAATTCACACAACATATGATTAATTCAATATTCTACTGTATAGTGCGATATTAATGCAATATCAGGTTTTCAATTCAATTGTATAGAATGTGAAGGATGCGTGTTTGTGCTTTATTTTTATAGTTATAATATACACCGAAGATGGCATTTAATTTCATTGTACGAGGTGCAATGACAATAAAGTAAACTAAATACTAAATTCCACCTTCTAGCCTGCTGATGGCTTTAGTGGTTGCCTGAACCTAACCCATATTGAGTGAATTATGTGAAGCTTGAAACTGTGTTGATTCAGTAGCAAAGTTCATATGTTGGGAAAATAAAGACACTCACTGACAGTGAGAACAATCAACCAATGGAACAGAAGTTGCCCTCGGAAGTTGTGGGAGCGCCATCACTTGAGACTTTCAAGAAGAGATTGGACTGCCATTTGTCAGAAATGGTGTAGGGTCTCCTGCTTGGGCGGCGGGGGGGTTGGACTAGATGACCTACAAGGTCCCTTCCAACTCTGATTATCTGTAATCTCTTTCTGTTGCACAGCCCCCTTCTTGGCCCTCATCTCTCTTTTTTTGCCTCTTTCCTTTAACTCTTCAAAATGAAAATAGAGGCTGTGACTACTGTATATTTTAATGCTTCAAGTGGATCCACAATCTTTTAAGACTGTGAATCCACTTGAAGAATTAAACTGTAGTCAGAGCCTCTATCTTCATTTTTTCAGAAGCTGCAAGGGATGAGGTAAAGGATAGACCTGGGGCTCTATTGATTTTTTAATCTTCTCTCTCTCTCTCTTTTTTCCATCCATCCTCTATTGCTAGGTAATGTAAGGATCTAATCCAACTTCTTTTAACTTTGATTCAAGAAGTTCCTTTCTAAAAGCAGAGTCCAGGGATTAGCATATAAGATTCCAGGAATAGGTGAAATGTAGATTTTATCTTTGTTCATACCAAAGAATTTATGATCTTATGACTTATTTATGGGTCAAATTTATATGCCCCCCCCATCAAAGTTACTCTGGGTGGTATGCAATAAAACCAAGAATTTAAACATTTTGCAAACCTCTTCAAACAATAAACAGATAAAACACAGGGCAGAGGTTTACATACATTTTGATCCTTTTTTTTTAGATCAGATACGCACAAACTGTTGTAAAATTGCTGGAATGAAGCCCAGCTTCCGCCTATCAGGCTTACTTGCAGATTCTGACCTATGGTACATAGAACAATTAGTTTCCTAATCCCAGAGTGTTGAAAGTGCTGTCTCAGAATAGCCCCCATCTTTCCAAAAGTCCCTTGGAATCCAGTCAAGCCACATGGCTGTATCCCAGATCGGAGACGCGCCGGATCCTCCCATCCCCAGTCAGCCTCATCCAGAGCTAGTGGGTCCAAGCAGTTTCCCCCCTTCCCCAAAGAATCCCTCTCTTCAGGCAGGAACGTGGGGCAAGTTTTCCGCACTAGCTACGTAAATCCGATCCCAGATTCTTAAGCGAAGCGGATCCCCGGCGCTTTAGATTGGACCAGCCACAAGAGCACGGCGGTTCCTCTTTACTTACGGCGGAAGGGTAAACTCCAGGCAGCAATGGCTGCAAATCGAGGAATAAAGTGATCGGGATATGAGTGAGGAAATAGAACGCGAAGATCCACTCGAGGACGCGCGACATAGCCATCGCCTCTTCGGGGTCAGTCGAGCTGGCAAGCGCCGGGAACGAACGATCGCTTCGCTCTGTAACCATTGGCTCTCCCTGGAGAGGGCGTGGCCTCCTGCCCAGATGACTCCGCCCGCTTTTCCAGGTTGTCCTTTGGGCAGGAGGAAAGCTCTTCGCGCCCTAATTTCGCCGCTCGGGCCCTTAGTGGACCCATCTGGACATTTTCCCACGTTCCGCCGAATTTTGCTTTTGGAGGGCAGCCAAGATTAGATGGGGCGGCTGCCGGGATGGGGGAGAAGCCTCGCAGCGTCTCTTAAATCAACCGCAGTTGCCAAGAAGCAGCCAGGAAAAATAGCAGAGCCTTCAGGGATTGGCTGGGCCTGCGGGCAGGCTTGCCCGAAATTTAACCGTGCCTTGCTTAATGAAAAATAACACCCTGAATAACTTGCACAAGTTGCATCCATACAAACGTGTGGATCAGGGTGTCCAATCTTGGCAACTTTTAAGAACTTGTGGACTTCAATTCCCAGACTTCCCCAGCTACCTTATGCTATGGCTTCTGGAAGCTGAAGTCCACAAATCTTAAAAAATTGTCAAGATTGGACAACCCGATTTACATAATTGTATGAATGCAACTTGTGCGGGTTATTCAGGGTATTTTTCATTAAGCAAGGCATGGTTAAATTTCGGGCAAGCATACCCGCAGACCTAGCCAATCTTGTTTAGAGATACTTCCACCCCTGAAGGACAGTCTAAAATGTTGCCAAAGTTGTGACACCCCCTCCCCTGTGTAGGGTAAAAATGTGGTTGGCGAGTTTGAGAAGTCCGAAGTTGACTTGCTCTTCAACATTTTTAGTGGATTCCAAAAAGTTGGGCAGCTGGTTAGAATTCTGGGAGTTTAAGTCCACATCTCTTAAACTTGCCAGTGTTGAGAAACATTGTACTTAGATGGTGGAGATCAAGTATAGCCAACAATGAATCTTTCTGGTGGAAGAGACTTAACTGGATCTCAATACACTGTTATTTTGTTGCTGTTTTCTAGAGGATACTTCAGAAAAGGCTAGATCAGTGGTAGTCAACCTGGTCCCTACAACCCACTAGTGGGCGTTCCAGCTTTCATGGTGGGTGGTAGGGATTTTGTCCCCTACTTTATAAATCACCATTACTGTGGAACCGGTGGGCGGTTAGAAAATTTTACTGCTAACAGAGATGCAAAAGGTAGGTATAAAAAGGTTGACTACCCCTGGGCTAGATGAACATTATGGATTCTGGTGTTCAAATCACATGGAATATAGTTAGTGGAATGAGCTGTGGCCATGATGCTGGAGAAGTATCAACATGGCAAGATTCAGCCTATATGGAAGCATATTCAGAAAAATTGATTCTGATCCACTTTTTAAAACGCACTGTCAACACTTAAGCAGCCACATAAGGAAGTTTATGGAAAGAGTTCTGTGTTTCTATTAAACTTTGAGGCTGCATTATTTTAGAATATTGTAGCTGTTTAAATTAACTCATTCCATCTGCACATCTAAAACACACCCATAATCAAACCTCTTTTTTGGTTTTTAAAGGCGTTTGCACATACCTCAACAGAAGAGGTCTCTTGGATGTCTAAGAAGGAAGGAGAAACACTAAGAGATGCTCCTTTTAGCTGAAGTAATTTTGTTAAACAAGTAACATTTTATCAAAAGGTCAGCAATGCCATTTTACTGAAAGGAATTGGTTTTCAAATGTGGAGAGACTTGAACACTGTACTGCTTTCAACTAATTAAAATATGTATTATTATAGGGCTATTCTATCCAACCTGCAAAAATTTCAATTACTGCTACATGGCAGCAAAAACTGCTAATGTTGCCATCTAATGGTGTCCATTTGGATGTTTTGTCCGAGATGACAATCATGCCATAATAATTCATGATTCTCATTTGCTGTTATTAGTGTTATAAGCCAATATTAGCATTCTAATATTGGCTTATAACATGGTGGCACAATGGTTAGAGTGCAGTATTGCAGGCTAACTCTGCCCACAGCCAGGAGTTCGATCCTAACTCAGGTTGACCCAGCCTTCCATCCCTCCGAGGTTGGTAAAATGAGGACCCAGATTGTTTGGGGCAACTTACTGACTCTGTAAACTGCTTAGAGTGCTGTAAAGCACTACTAAGTGGTATATAAGTCTAAGTGTTACTGCTATTAGTATTCTCCATGTTGCTACATTAGTTTACCAATTGATGAAGGATTATTGGCTCTACATTTCATACTTGTCCTCGTTGCTTAACGTGCCACTTGCCTCCAATGTAGCACTGCATTATTACCTCTAATATGGTACAAATATATCTCTGTAGTTTATCTCCCAGAGTTGACAACGTGTTAGCAAAGCAATATCACATACAGCTGAAAAGGTGTGAATATCACCCATTCTTGGGGTTCAGCCAAAAACTCAACTGCAGCAACGAGCTGCTGCAATGAAAAAATTAAGATCTAAGCCAACATAATCTTCCTTTCTCTTCATTTTAGGACTCAAGATCTTTATAGGAAAAATACTCTGAGCCATTAATTTTACAGGACTGTTATAAAATATGCAGGTTTTAAGGAACTACTATTATTTTGTATGATTATTGCACAAAAACATTTGAAGGGGGTAAAATATTAGTTTGCTAAATAAAGGAAGATGTAAACTGTTAGTCTATCGTAGCCAAAATTAGATGGATAAGCTTATGTATTTTAATAAAAATTGCTTGGAAAAAGCTTTGCTAAATTCAGAAACCAGTTGAAACCAGTTGGGTGCAGTGGCAAGAATTTAGCACTTCTTCTCTCAGTTAAAATAAGTATATTTATCTTCACAAATGAGAGGTCCCTGAAGAGGACACTCATCTTTATTCAGGGCTAAACACCCCATATCCTTTATTTTCTCTTGTTGTTCTTGTTCCCTCAATTGTCCATGCTAATTTCTATAAATGTCTTCTACTTTGTTTGAATCCTTCTCAAAAGTGTGATGTCTAGCCCTTGAGTTGAAAACCTACTGCCCACGAATGAAGAAAGCTCTAGAATTCTCACCTCCTACCTCCTTAATATGGAAAATGCAACCTTAGTCTCAGTCCTGCAGCTACATTTAGTTGCCAAAACTGGAGTGTCAGTCATAATCTAAGTAGTCAGTGGTTCCAGTTTTTCAACCAGCTCTCTGTGACGCCTCAATGGCCTTCTTTAAAAGCAACTTCATATAACAAATCTTTGGAAGAGTCCACATCCATTATTAATGAGCTGCATGCCCCAAATCAGTAGAAGGATAAAACAACAACAACATAGTCACGGAAGTTTGTTTGCTTGTTTGTTTCAAATGTCACATTTAATGTTTTCAACCACTGTACTTCAAAATCTACATTGTACAAAGTGACCCGCAAGTGTGCCACATTTAACAGACCAACCTCTGAGATTTTACCTTTCATACCAGTGTCTTCATGGGCTCTTTTTAAGTTAAAAAGATGATTCTCATTCAAGTTAATTGAAATGTCGCAGTTGGTTTTGTTTGCTTTAAATTCTCAGGAGCCACACAAAAAAACAAAGATATTTCAGCATCTTTGTTTGAGAAATTCAAAATTTGTCTCCCCCCCGCAGCAAAATGACTACTTCATTGAAGTTAAAACTTCCAAAAACGTAAATTAATAGAATCCAATTCCAACTCAGATCACCCTTCCTGAAAATACTCTGCTAAATACAGATAACTTACAATAACTTTAACAGTTAATTGTCCATGACAAACACCAAGGTTTCTCTTATTTTTTTTAATATCCCAGACCAACATTCAAAAATTTGAGACCATCCATTCGTTATTTCTTTGTACAGCTGAAAAACAGTCTTCAATTTTTCTTGCCTTTTTTAAATATAAAAGTTGGAAGGGACATTCAAGTTTCAAGTCTCCACACTGGACCAAAAAAAAAAAAAAAATCAGGTGGAGGTAAACAAGCCATGTTGTATACTTCCAGGAGGTAGAGGCCTTCAATTTGTGTTCATATATATATATACATATGCACAGAATAATTCAGTGTTTAAACAGAACACACACAAAAAGGAATTAGCCAAAAAGTAATAAAAGTTATTTACTACTGTGACATTTCAAGACTTCCACAGCTTTGCCTAATGACACAAATACAATTAACATAATTCCCTATGTGCTTTCCCCCACTATTTTTTTCATTTTTTTTCATCCAACTGTCCAGTGCAGGATTTAAAAAAAAAAAAAGAAATCACAAAGTTTCACAGATCTAAAATGTGTAAACTACTTTCTCATGCGCACTCTCTCTCTCTCTCTCTCTCTCTTTCTCTCCATGGCAATGGATATCAAGATTTTTTTTGAAATATTAGCCCCCAAATGGAATGCGTGCTGGGGCAGAGGAAAGGGAAGGGGAAGGGATGGTTCATGTAAGAAAAAGAGCAGAAAAAGCTTCTAATAAAAATAGATTAAATATATATATTTATATATATTTATTTATAACTTGGGAAGGGTTCAAAGGAAAAGACACTTTTCTCTCCTAGTCAAAACTCATTCTCTCTACTCACAAAATCAGACTGGAAAACAGCACACAGGCATCATCACTTCGCTACTGAGAAGCTATGGAGATGGAGGTGACCACCAGGTGACGTTGCCCACTCACACTTGGGCACTGCCCTCTGATGAGGCTTTATGATTGGTCATGATTAAGTTTTGTATTCCCTGTTTTGTTTTTCAAGCAAAAGTCCCAATTCTTCAGGAATGGCTCAATATCAAAATAGCTTGTCCTTTTATACAATTTCACTTTTAAAACTGAAGAAAAAAATTGGTTCAATTTTTTTTTGTTCCGAGCCAAGCAAGATTCCACAGCTGCACTACAATTCATAAATTTTTAAAAAAAGTGCAACCCTGGATAAAATATATATATTTTTTCTAAAAGCACAACCCCACCTTTGACAGGATTTAAAAGCCTAGTTAACATTTTTCTAACTCTTATTTGTATAACATACAAGGATAGTGGTTGTTAATTTAAAACTTCATTAGTAAAATTACAGTACAAGCATGATTTAAATCTCCAGAATTGCAAATCCCAGAATCCAGT